CCTTACGTCATGCCAACGGTTTTTCCAAGCCTTCACATCCAACAGGTAGAGTCAGTAGACAGGTACTCTGGTCTTACGTCGTGCCAATAGTTTAAGCCAATACACACAGATACTTTTTTTTTTGCAAGGATATCCAACTATACATCGTCACGCACTGTTGCACTGCCAACAATTGGGAGGCCCCTCACCAGTAGGTACTGTTGCATACGGTACGGCTTATAGCTGCATACTATACGCTTCCACAAAGTTGGCATCATCTAACTAAGGCCACTGCCTGCCAAGTGGTATGGGGGCAAGGAAGGGAGTTTTGTCGTCTTCTACTTGTTTGTCACATCATCATCATCATCATCATCATCATCATCAAAAAAGCTGCAACCTGTCTTGTTGCTTTGTTTCTCCTTCTGAAATGCATATGATTTTCGCATGCCCGTTTACAACACTCCGGACTCCATTCCACACTGTCTAATCTGATTCATGTTCCACCCAACGCTTAAAAAATGCCCTAGAATGCGCTGACCTGGTCGTACTACCACTCAATCCTCCAATCCTGGCCCCCACTCCGTTCGGACAGAACTGGGTTGCAGAGAAAATGAGCCTCGTTTTCTAAAAACCGACCGAAATGTCAGAGCGGGATTAATGACATTTAATGTGCTGTGGAACAATGATTTTTCAATTGTTCACAGCTTTTCTATTGGTGTGGAAAGAGAGTCAAGAGACCCATTATTATGTTGTCTTTTTTTTCTTCTTCTTCTCCTCCTTCTTTCTGCTGGTCCTCCCCTTTTTATTGGAGTCCAAATACACGGGATGCTTTTTTGAAGTTTCTGAAATTTTCCCCTTTTTGTGGGTGCTAAAAGAGATCGAGCTCGCCATCAGCATCATGATCATCACCATCGTCATCGTCATCGTCATTTGATCTGCTGGCTTTGATTCATGTTTCCATGTAGGGTGCTAAAAGAGATCGTCATCGCCGTCGCCCATCGGCATCATCATCAACACCATCGTCATCGCCATCATCATCATCATTTTTCCATTTAGGGTTAACTTGCAGCTACACGCAAGGAGGCTGTGGAAAGCTTCAGCTTACCGGGGAGGGGGGGGAGGGGGGGTCACGGAATCTTCAAATTGCTTTTAACTTTTGGCGACTTTTCATTCTCATTTCTGTTGAAAAAGAAGTCCCAAAAAAAATCACGAACGTAGGGTAGGTTCCACTGTATATGGGAAAAGTGTTGGAAAATTTAAGAAAAAAGTTTGAAAAACAAAGAAGCCCACAGGTGACGGGAAAGATTTGGGCACAAATTGGACTCATATGTTGATCAGAGTCGCTGTGATCCGTCCGGTAGACCCAACCGCAAGGCACGAGGCCCTTGGCCTAGGTTCGAAAGGGGCTGCGCCCACTGGAAACTGTCTGCGCCCTCCCTAAGTGAAGGTGGGCCCCTGGAAATTCAACGAGGCCCGTTCTGAGGCCAATATGAGCAGAAAGGGCCTCATGGGTTCGTTGCTGCATGCAGCATCTCCAACCGACCGCTAGGCCCGATCGGTTGAAGATACTGAGGCCCCCAGGGCACTTACAGTTGAGCCTCAGGCACTCCTGGATGGGCCCTGTGGGCAGCTACTGGGGCAGAGGCCAAGCATCCGGAGCCTGCCTCGCCCAGCCAGCCAGTGCACAAAAGGAAGTGAGGGCACTCACTTCAGCACATTCTGGCTGTTGGACAGCGGCAGTGCTGCTGGAGCACCGACTTGCTGAAGGAAGGTCAGGCAGAGTAAGGAATGGCGCTGGCGGGGCGCGAGGAAGAAGCTGCAAGGGTGCAGCCTGAGCACAATAGCCATAGCCGGGGTGCAGGCGCCATAGCGTGGGAGGTTGAGCGGAGGTCCTTGGGCGAGGGACAGAATAGGGAAGTCAAGGGAAGTGGGATGCATGTGGGCGTTAACCTGGTGATGATGAGTGGGTCGCCATCGCCAGAGTCTTCATTTTAGAGTCCAGGTGATAGGTGCTGTCTGATTGAAGTCTGGGCTCTGAGCGCCATATAGGGGAGCGACATTGTAGACAATGATGTTGGGGCCGAGAAGAGGGCTTTCATTATCAGTTGACTTCAGTGCTTTCCTCTTTTTTGGTGTACCTTGTGTTGCAATCTACTTTCAGTTCGAGCACATGGCTATCTGGATTTGTATGAAATGATGCATCACGTTGCTCATTTTCCTTGCAGAACCTTCCAGTAAAAATTTTGGGTTCATACTACTTCATAGGTCTTACGGCAGTGGTGGTTTAAATTCACTCGCTCCCTCGCTCCAACGCTACCTCTCTCCCTTGTTTCCTCCTGAACTCCCTGGCGCCCTCGCCCACTCACTCACTGTATCACCCTTACTCATGCACTTGCTCATTCCCTCCCTCCCTCACTCGCTCCCTCACTCCCTTGCTCGCTGCCACACACCTTCCTTCGCTCCCCCCTCCCTCCCTCCCTCCCTTGCTTCCTCCCTCAATCTGTGGCTCCCTTGCTCACTCACTCACTGAATCACCCACTCACTTACTCTCTCACTCGTTCCCTCCCTCACTCGCTTGCTCCCTCACTCACTCCACATGCCTTCCCTCACTCACCCCCCTCCTTCCCCTCACTCACTCCCTCACTCCCTGACTCGCTCCCTCACTCACTCCCTCCCTCCTTCACTCACTCACTCACTCACTCACTCACTCACTCACTCACTCAGGGCATATTCACACAAGGACTCTTTCGACTGATCACTGGATGTAGTTTTGATCAAATCCATTGAAGATTGGCTGTCGAGCCAGCCTGAGATGATTTTTCTACTCTCTGATGTTCCCTGCGAACCATGCAAAATAGTTTCCCATTCTCTTCTTGCTTTGAGTTCTCTTTCCTATTTGGTAAAGGGTTGCCACTGGATCAAGTGACCAGTTTCCCTGGTAGACTTCCAGACAACCCCGAGACACAAAGTGGGTGAGCGGCCAGATATATCCAGGAAAGCCCGGGTCTAATGAACTGACTACTCTATCATCAATCATGCTCATCAATCAACATGAATCCTCATCAATATCATCAAAACATCAGTAATAACTTATAAGCATCAACATAATCTCATCATCACCACCTCATCACCCCCACACACTCACAGCATACCAAAACAGATTGCAAACTGGCATGTCTAGGTGGTGGAGACCTTCACAATGGGCCCTCACTCTTAAAATTTTGAGAATCGTCACAGATTATCATGAACTTGGAGGTCCACACCAGAAGGGAGGGGGAGGAGCGTGCGTGCGTATCTGTTGCAAACTTGTAATTTTTCTGACTTGCCGGGGGAATAAGAACCGGACTGACGCTCCCCAGAATGGCCAAGAAGCCAGGACCCTAAGGTTTTGGTTTTTTTTTTTTTTTTTTTTTTTTTTTTTTCACGAACTTGGAGGTATCCAAGTTGTGCCCACAAGTCGGCGCCTACCGGTAGGCGCCTGATGGTTGGCTAATAGGCATCAGCAGTTGCCAGCTGCAACCTTGGTGACACAGTGGTCACGCCAGCGCACATTGGCGAAAGCTGCGAAAGTTCAGCGAAACCATTGTGGACCATGTAGCAGAGGACGGCAGATGGTGCAAGGAAGGGAAAGGCACACTGCCACCTTTTTTTTGTTGCTGCTTTATTTTTTTATTCCTGTTTCAGGAGCAAGGCTCCTCACTTTTCTGTGGTTGCACGGGAACAGCCCCATTTCCTGGCTAGTGCTGGTGAAGAAGGGCCTCTCTCCAACATGATCGTAGATCTGCGTAAAAAAATAAAAAATAAAAAATAAAAAATAAATGCTGGTAGATCATCAAGCAAAAGCAAAGAAATGCCAGTAACCTGGCTTCCAGTATACATGCAGCCAAAGCACAAGCTCCGCATGTGCAAGGCCCCCTAATGGTTAATAGGTGGTGCATTTTCGTCGAATTTCTCACCAAAACTGCCATGTTTCCCTGAATTTTTCCTTTTTTGAAGTTTTTTTTTTTTTTTTTTTTTTTTGTGTGTGTGTGTGATATATATGTGCTTTATGGTATATTGGTATTCAGTTCCAAATTTTCCGATGTATTTGGACCAGTAACGAAAAAGTTGGCAAAAACACCAAGTTCGGAGAAAAAATTGGCAAACTCCGAAAGCTACTCCGAATAGGGTTTTACAGTGCTTTTGACTCTTTTGAGTTTTTTTTTTTTTTTTCGCTTTTCTTTCCCTGTTTTTTTTTTTTATGTTTGTATTATGAGCCGGCATTGTTCGTTCGCGAAATTTTCGATGACATTGCTTGTGGTGATGTGGCGAGAAACCCCGAATTTTGGGCCTTCCATTAACCATCTCTCAACCACCCTGCACTACCATATTATCCGCAGTGATCTTTCTTTTCTTCCTTGAACACAACACAGTGTTGACGTCAACAAAGTGAATGGAAAAAAATATTGATTCAAGAAACCGGAACTACAGGGGAGAAAACGAAGAGAAATCAAAAACGTGTTTTTGCTTTCGTACTCTAACACAAACCCAAACTGCAGTAGAACTGTTTCAGCAATGCCAGATTTCTTTTTTTGAAAATTTTCAGATGTTCGCACACTCATTTCATTTTGGGAGCATGAACCTCAACTACGATACAAAGACATAGAGGAAACCCTAAACCCTAAAAAGGAAAAAGAACGGTGAACCTCATCAATCTGTCTAGCGTAAGCCCACTGCTTACCTAAGACGGCAAACAAGAACGCACAAATGACGTAGAAGAAATGCTAATAAACAACTGTATTTGGAAACAACGAGTTGACGACCTATAGATATTGGTAATGTTACTGCACAACAGGCTATGGATTGGGGATTTAGCGGTGTAACGCTAAGAAGTTCATGGGGTTTCTGGGATTTGTGAAAAGCAGCACCTTATGATGGGTTTTAGGGAGATATCAGTGATTTTGCAAGATCGATACATAGTCTGTTACTCCCCTTCAAACAAATTGATTTCCGGTTCCAATTGGAACCGATCTGGTACTCACCTCCGTGAGCAGTCTGGAACCGCTGAGTGAGTAGGAGATATGCTGGTATGGATACTTGATGGGACGAACCGTTGCACCATTGTAATTGGAAAGGACAGCATTTGATTCCCTGTCCCTGAAGACAAACATTCTTCTCGAGAGTTGATGAACTAGCGTTGGGCCGGCCACAATAGCTTTTGTGGCGTCGAAACCTTCCACGCGCACGAGGAGTTTTCCCTCTGGGTAGGAATAGAGCTCACCCGTGCTATACCAATAGACAGTAGTGCCCCGAGTACCTAACCGCAGTTGAATCCATCTGCATGAAGAAGGCGATGGAGTATCAACACACAGGCGGAAAGACACAGATGAACAGAACGGCAAACATGCAGCAGCGCGAACCCACAGCTTTTGTGTGGCCATTCCTTTCATATGAAAAAAAAAAGCGGATCGCAATTCGCGCAGCTATCAACAAATGACAGCCTGACATTGCAAACACCCCTCACTGAAATTAGCGCGGCAAATACAAGATGCTACAAGAACAGGCCCAATTTTTTTAGGGTAAGGAGAAAAAGACTGAGGGTGGGGGTGAGGAAGGTCCTTCGGGACATCCGTTAAAATCGGAACGATACAAAGAAGATTAGCATGACACGCATAAATGGTCCAAATTTAGAGAGGGAAAAAAAAAAAACAAGATGAGGGKGGGGAGGGCAAAGAGCAACATACGTGAACGTGAAGGTGACGTCGGTGAACGGATGGAGAGGAATATAATACGTCAGTTTTTGGGACTGCCAACTTCAGTCACTGTTCCGCTTTTCGAGATGAGGGACAAGATCATGGATGAGCAGCCCTGATCTTACGCATGAGGAGGTGTGGAGTGGTTGATGATTGTCTCAAACGACGTCTGCAGTACATCCATGGCTCTGGAGGACCCTTTTGATCAGGTCCTTGGAAGCTAGTGCTACTCACAGGCATTGCAGAAGCATAATGGCATGGCCAACGCATTACCGCGGCGTTGGGCATCACACAACATAAGATCGAATGCCCTATCGTCAATTTCATCATGCAATGACCGACTGCACACAGCAGAGCAATCAGCCATAAACCACTACCACTGACATCTCAGGATCCGCGTTTTCAATGTTCTCCACCCAACCGCACATTGTAAGCCAGCAGTCGCTGCAGTCCTAGCGACACTTTACCCAACCACACATCTTAAACCATCAGTGCGCTGTGGGCCTTGCGACACTTTGGTGGGTGCACACAGAGGTCGCGGTCCGATTTGGCACACTGGGTGTGGTTAAGGGGGACCCACAATTTTCAGCCCCTGACTAACGGGCCCAAAACTGATATTAGGGTAAAATTCGGGCCTCTGTTAACCACCTCTCAATAGATCAGGGGTGTAGTGTTAGGTTCTGCTGTGTCAAGGGGGGACCACAAAATAAAAAGAAAACAAAATCAACTTTTAATCAAGCCAAAAATGGTTTTGGAGCAAACCAAATGCATAAAATTGCCCCGCCTCCCTCACCCTGTAGGCACAACCTTTCAGGATGGGAAGGCCAGGGCTGGTGTAAAATAAGGTTCGACAAGATAGGCTCCGCCACACTGGTGGTTTGAATCATCATAGCCCTGCAACTTCTTTATGACAAACGTTTCCTTTGCTCAATCCTGGACCTACTGAACCCCGGGCCGAGTACAATTTGTTTCCCAATGGGATCTTGTCATTGGAATCGCCATCTGACAATCGAGTCGAGTGACCACAAAGTTTTCTCGTAGACCACCTACGTCTCCTCTGGGGTCTGCCATCTGACAATCGAGGCGAGTGACCACAAAGTCTTCTCGTAGACCACCTACGTCTCCTCTGGGATCTGACCGGTCAGCGCTGCATCCCCCCAAAATACAAGTGCGAAGGCTTCTGGCACAAAGGCAGAACGCTCCACTAATCTGATGCTAACCCCCCTTCCTTCCCCCACCAAAACATCCACCGACAACGCACCCCAAAGTCCCGACCACGTGGTAGAGTTGGGACTAAGCTAACCCTCCTTCCCGGCCCCACCTAAATGTCCACTGACAGCACACCCCTACTTCCGCACTGCTTGGCAGACTTGGAACTAAAACCTTAAACCACCAGCAACTTTCCAATCCTTTTTGTTCCGACGTTAACGCGCCGTGCCCTTCAGGGCTTGGCCTACTGGTATGAAACGGCTGGTGGCGCCAGGGAAAAGGAAAAAGAAAATGTGCCCACATGGCGTGCAGCAGAAATCTGCATTCGGGAAAAGAGGCTTCAAGGTACTAGTGGTTTAAACCACCAGCACTGGGCAGGCTTCCTTTTGCCGAAGCGGGATTCCCCCCCGTGTGGTGAAAAGAGCCAAAACATTGCGGCCCCTTTTTTGGCTGGCGCCACCAGACATTTTGCTCCGGTAGGCCGGGCCCCAAAACTTGCGGCATGTGCACGGCCACGTCGGAGAAAAATGGCGGGGAAAGTACTGGTGGTTTTAACTTTTTAACTGATCTCCTTCCAAGACCTCAAATGCGTTCAGGCACATTTTACAAGTCTAGCGTCACTTGCTGCCTGACAATATAAACCCCACAAAATTTTCTCAACAGCCACCACGTTTAACTCAGGGTTCAAACAAAGCGCAAGTGCTGATGGAATCAGATAGATACAAATTTTTAAGGGGCCCTACCTCTGTGCTTCTCATAAAAGCAACTTATAAGACTGACAACATCCATACACAATTCACATTTTACACAAGAGTACACAAATGTAGAAGATCGTAGTCAAAGCGTCAGAGGACGCTGACAATTAACAACAGTGCTTCGCTGTTCGCAGTGGTCACGAATTACTACGGGTGCACCTCCAGTAAGCATCTTCACCACTCGTCTTCCCGAAACTAGACCATCTTTCCCCTAACCATATCGTCTGGCTCTTGGTCAGCATAAGCTGCCAGAGGCACTTGTCCAATCTTTTCTCCGTTAATAATTACACAACTTTTTTGTTTGGGTAAATAAGTACACATTTTTTTCGCTACTTTTTCAACAGGCAGATTACCATAAAAAAATAGATAACTTTTTAATCGCTTGTGAATTTTTGTGAAACACCTGTCTCGGGCCCACAAAAACCCAAACAAGAGGCGGCACCGGTGGGGGCACGCCGTGTCTTGGGAGCATAGTTGCGGCGCACCTCGGTGTGCGGATTTGTGCACGAATTGCGCACCGCACAGCGCACCGAAGCGCAGCGCACTTGAAAAATTAGGTCCAAAAAAAAAAAAAAAGTAGGGGTTTTGTAATTTCTTAGGGCCCCCAACTCAGCAAAAATGTTAAACTCACCGCGCAAGCTCGCAAACCGGCCGCGCCCATGGCCCAAACTTTTATTTTGGGTAAGGGCTGCCGAAATTTCGATTTCCACAGGCCCTTCCCCCAAAAGTTTCAGCATGGCGAAGCACAAAATAGGGCTCGTTCCAACTTTTTAGGCGGGGTATGAAAGCTGTGCTTCCCGCTCCCTTCTGCAAACCCCACATAGTAGTGGGGTAAGTTCGCAAGAAGGGGTAGTCGCCTAATAACGACCTGCCCCGCGAAACTTCGAAGAAGTCACAAATTGCGTGGTCCATGGCCAGCCGACCACCAATATATGCTGAAGATTGGCGTTCAGGTCTGCATGTCGGCAGTTATGGGTTAGGATGAAGATGCCCGTGGCTCTCTCGTTTTTTTGTTTTTGTTTTCTTACGAATACGTCCAGTGGTGATGCACAAAAGACATAGCATATGGCGGTGTATGGTTCCATGTTTTAGCAGAAGATTCATTCTACTAATATTATATACATTTGGTGAGTGGTGGAGGGAGGCCCTGAGAATCACGTGGAGACACGAACAGKGTCTAGCTGAATTGGTGACCCATAACTGCCGAGCTACAGCCCTGAACTCGAATCCACAGCATATRTTGGTGRTCTGCCCCCATCTCTCCCACACGTGACGAGGTCATCCTTCTCATTGAAGCAGTGGCCCTCAATGGCTCCACATGTATTGTAGGAGCCATTCGACGTACCTGCAGGGGCCCTCGAATTGACGTGAAGGGGACCCTTTTGTCTCTCTCTCTCTCTCTCTCTCTCTCTCTCTCTCTCTCTCTCTCTCTCTCTCTCTC